AAATTGAATCGAACCAAAATCCGTATTTCAACTTTAAATAAAAAATTTCCGGCTAAAAAAGTTTTGCCTCCAAAATTAGGAATTTGTATCGGAACGTAAACAACGCTTTATTATTTTTTATTAGTTCCTAATAACATACAGTTAAATTGTATGATTAAATGAATTTTTAGTATAAATTGTTGAAAATTTGTTCCGAGGCTAGCCACAGCGACTGATTTAATGAATTTTGATTTGATTTATACCTAATGCTAAACCAAACCGAACCAAAACTACGGTCAAAGCCGACTGAAACCATTTCAAAAACCGAACCATGATTCAAAAATTAACGCGAATCACTGAAACGAACCAATCCAAAACGACAGGTGGTTCGTACTCCAGGCTTCTTGAATTTTTTTCTCATTTTAGTTATCATAGCACACATCCCAATCTTCCCTTCTTAGTTTACATTGTGTGACTTTTATGTGAACTATTTGCAACACTAACTTCCTACACATCTGCCCAACTATTTCCAATTTCTTTGCAATTGAAGACCAGTTCGTTGTGATTTGAATATTAATTAACAAATATTGATTGTCATTCCAATCACGAAATGATTTTTCGGAATGATTTATGGCATGTTAATTGTCATTTTGCGATTTTTGTTTCTTTCTATTGTGATTTGAAAGTGGCGATGGGCTTCAAATAACTAAGTGGAAGTACAAAAGTAAAAATTCCACTAATGCAAGGAAATGAAGGCAAAGAAATAAGGCCGAGAGATTCATTGTGGTTTAAATATAGATTTGAAGCCTACCAAGGGTCCTCTGTGGAAAGAACACCACCAAAAAGTTCTCAATGTGTAAAAAAGCATCAAAAGGCCCTTCGAGATTTTTAAGCTTCTTTTTATGAAATAGGGAGTCTTTTATGAATAGAAGACCGTAAACAGGATAGGGGCCTTTCATCAGAATTTCCGGGGACAGAAATTAATCAAAGACTTTCAGAAAAATTTCCGCGTCTTCTAAGAACTGAAATAATTTAAAAAATCACATCCGGATAGAATATCTTCAATATACCCTGTTTGGATAAAAGGTCATCATCAGGTTTTCTTTTGATAAATAAACTCAATAGAAAATGGTCAATTTCGTCTAATTTGGTTGGGAAATAAACCAAAAACCTTCAAAATATCGAAAATTTTGCAAGGTTAGAACAGACATACAGAGAATCCCAAATATTAAGTTTCGGCTGATATGGTTGGAACCTGGTCCATAAACCATCAAAATATCAAAAATCTGCATGTATATGGGGGCCATACATAAACGTAGACCAATACACACCATTTTCAATACAATCAGCCTGCATATACAGGCTGTCATTTCTAAGTCACTCGTCCGACAGCTGTTAAAATTATTCCAGTGATACAATTGTTTACAAGCGTAGCATTTTGGTGAGATTTTTTAAGAAAAAAGTTATTCGTGATGGAATTCAGGCGTAATAATGTGATTTCTTTCTTGTAAAGAAGCAACTAGATCGAAACCCGCGTCGCAATGAAAAAATGGCTCGTGAGCTGAGCATATCGCAATATTCCATTCGGCAAATATTGAAAAATGAGCTCGGGGTAAAGCCATTGAAATTCCAAAAAGTACAAGAACTTTCACCGCAACAAAAAGAAATAGACTCAAAAGAGCTAAAGAGTTGCTTCGCTTGGCCGAAAGTGGTGAACTGCCGAATTTGGTATTCTTCGATGAGAAAACATTCGTTGTGCAGCAGTTTGTAAATAAAAAAATGATCGTATTTCCTTGCCAAAGAGGTCAGCTGAAAATGTGCGCCTTCGGTGAGCCACCAAAACTCATGCGCCGGCCATGGTGATGGTCTTGGCCGCCATAACAGCCGATGGTCGCTCTCTGCTCGTATTAATCGATCGTGGCATCAAAATAAATGCCGAATATTATAGCGAAAATATTCTTTAGAGTATATTAAAGCATTGGGCGCGCAAAGATTTTGGCCGCAGACCTTGGACATTCCAACAGGACTCAGCAACATCGCACTCAGCACGCGCCACACAAATGGTTACAAAATGAGGTTCCTCGCTTCATTTCCAGCGCACAATGCCCACCAAAATCTCCGGATACAAATCCGTTGGACTATTGTATCTGGAATATTTTGGAAAGCAAGGTTGGCACTAAAACAAACCAAAGTGTCGATCACCTCAAGCAAGTGCTTCGCCGGGAATGGGTCAAAATACCGCATAGCAATATTCGGTCAGCGTGTGACGGTTTCATTGGCCGTATGAAGGTGACCACTCCAAACAAATCTAAATTTATTCTAGAATTTGATGCTATTTCCGACATTTTTAGCTTTCATTCAATAATATTAAAAAAAATAAAAATTATGGCATTTGACTTTGTTGCAGGTTTTTTAGCTCACCCTGTATGTAGGAAATATAAGGTCTTCTCTTATATCTGTAAAATACTTATGTAAGGCCTTATCTCCTTGGAGGACGGCCTGAAGGGATTCTACTCATCGAACTCCGATTGAAGTCTTTTATTCTTGGCTGCTTTATTGAGAAAGAAGACGTTAGAGCTCTTCTGTGATTTTAAAGATTTTAAAATTTCCACAGTTAGTCTTTGTGTACGTTTTCACAGAAAGAACCCTTCATTTGCTGCTTTGTTGAGAGAGTTAGAACTTTTCTGTGGATAGAAGACCTTAAACAGATGCCTAATGGGTAGACGACCTTCAATAGGTATTCAATGGATATGTGAGGATTTAATACCTTTAGCAAGGCTTCTATATATATTTTTAGATTTTCTATTTGACGGTGGTTACAAGATCTTCTTTTGGTCTTCTGACATTCCACAAATCTTCCATAGATACAATTTCTTTTGTAGACCTTCAAAATATAGAAAAAACTGTAGGTTTCCTATATATGGAGGATCTTATAAAGATCTCCTAAAGATTTTAAAATTTCCACAGATAAAAGTCTTCCACAGAAAGAACCCTTCATTTGCTGCTTTCTTGAGAGAGTTAGAGCTTTTCTGTGGGTAGAAGACCTTAAAGAGATACTTTATGGATATACGACCTTCAATAGGCATTCAATGGATATATGAGGATTTAATACCTTTAGCAAGTCTTTTATTTTATTTAAGACCTTTTATTTGACGGTGGTTACAAGATCTTCTGCTGGTCTTCTGTGGGTAGAAGGTATTCCACAAATCTTCCAACGATAAAAGTTCTTCTGTAGACCTTCAAAAAATATAGAAAAACATGTAGGTTTCCTATATATGGTGGATCTTATACAGATCTTCTAAAGATTTTAAAATTTTCACAGATAAAAGTCTTTGTGTCTCTCTTCCACAGAAAGAACCCTTCATTTGCTGCTTTCTTGAGAGAGTTAGAGCTTTTCTGTGGGTAGAAGACCTTAAACAGATGCTTTATGGGGTAGACGACCTTCAATAGGTATTCAATGGTTATGTGAGGATTTAATACCTTTAGCAAGGATTCCATTTATTTATTTAGACCTTCTATTTGACGGTGGTTACAAGATCTTCTGCTGGTCTTCTGTGGGTAGAAGATATTCTACAAGTCTTCCAACGATTAAAGTTCTTCTGTAGAAACTGTAGATAAAAGTCTTTGGGTATCTCTTCCACAGAAAGAACCATTCAGTTGCTAATTTATTGCGAGAGAAAGAGAGAGAGCATGTATGGGTGGAGAATATTTTCAGTGTCTTTTTGGGAATAACTCCTTCAAAAGGCCTTCCATGAATGGGAGACCTCCGTCACGTCTCCTATGGATGGTAGTTCCTTAACAGATTTTCAATATCGAGTAATCCCCTCAAGGGTTCGCAATTGTCCTCAAGTTATGAGAAATTTGGTCATTCTGGATCCATCGACTCACTTGCCACACCCGACAATCCCCCTGCTGATAATTGCATATTTTCGCTGCAAAAAAAAAAAACTAGTTCCTCGCCCAACTGGGGATGGTGCGTTTTTTGTCCCTACTATTTACGCCACATTCCGAGCGACGACAAGTTGTGGCAGTGGACATTGTTGCCCGGTCCCGGGGTATGAGCTATGATATGTTCTCATATCAATTACGATACATTTAAATGCAATTAAATTGCAGTGTAATGCAAAACGTAACAAGCATTTAAAATAAATTCAAATGTAATCACAGCGCATGAGCGACCGCATCGCAACGAACAGAACAGACAGACACACACACACTCTCACGTCTGAGTCTGAAATAAACCAAGTGCATATTTGTTTGTTGTTTGACGTCGTATATTCATACCACAATATTAACAAAATCATACAAATTAAACAAAACGTATGAAAAACTATACGACTTAAAGGTTGTCATGGCGATGATGGTTGGGGTGATGGTGGCGGCGGTGGCGGTGGGGTATTTGGTTCTGATGGTGTTGGGCTTGTTGTTGCTGCCGTTGTATTTCTTATGTTTCGAAAACGTGTAAACACCACATGACATCGAACACGCGCGTGCGCAAATGCCAACTGAATGCATATTAAATGCAATGAATGCCAACCAACCAACCGAACCAGCGACCAACTGAACAACCACCAGCCAACAAGTCATCCAATCGCTGTATCGTTCGAGTGAAGTGCAGTGCGCGCTCGCGCATCACCACCACAATATGCAGATTAATTGCTGTTGTTGTTGTTGCGCTGTTTTTTTTTCAGATTCATTCAGAGCTGTTGATTCCAAAATTTATGTATGGCATAGCTCTCTATCTCGACGGCATGTTTGCCATCCCGCAGTTGCTTGGCTTGTAAACACCAACAGTTGTACAGATTAAATTACAATTTCCGTGATTTTTATTATGTTATTAAGATTTATATTAACACAAACACACCGATACACAGCCACATAAACGCTCAAACAAAGAGAGCGCACACGGATCCTTACTTTGATTTAGTACAGACATTTCGGCTAACATTACACTTGGCTAATGAAGATTTTCTTAACGTTTTGTTTTGTTTTTTTTTTTTCTCCCCTCTTTCTCTTTGCAGCAGCGTAAGCTGTCACCGACATGGGCAGTGAGCACTACTGCTTGAGGTGGAACAATCATCAATCCAACCTGTTAGGGGTGTTTAGTCAATTACTACAGGACGAGAGTCTGGTGGACGTCACATTATCTTGTTCAGAGGGCGCTCCCATCAGAGCCCATAAGGTAAGTGGAAGAAATAAAAAAAAAATAAATAAATAAAAATAAATAAAATAAAACAAACCAGTAAGGAAACGTCAAAGGTCTGGCGGGCCGACTATATGATACCCTACACCACTTTGCGTATTTAGTAGAGCTCGTGTAACAAAAATCTTAATTTATGTGAGGTAGATCATACCAACTATGAACTAAATAACATTGATGTATACAGCATGATATGACTTCGATAAGGATTATATTAAAAATATTTATTGGAGCAATTGATATACCGGAACGAGTTTCACCGAATGGTAAAATTCGGTTGAATATCAAAAAATCGATTCAATTTGGGAAGATATCACATATATGGCGAGCAATAACCGTAAAATCGGATAAAGAGGTATATCGATGCTATATAAAAATCTGAACCTATTTCAATAAAATTTGGCAGAGGTATTGGAGCAGTATCTGATGCCCGGGTTAAAAAACTCTTATTGTGGGGTGCATATTACGCATGTAAGGGACTTAAAATCTCAAGTCGGATGAAATATATATATATGGGAGCTATAGCTATATCTAAACCAATTTTCGCCAAAATTTGAAGTACTGGCTTCTAGGCTAAAATCCCTCGGAAGTGCCAAAATTCAGTCCATTTGGGCTAATATTAGACATACAATAAACCTAAAGTCGGATAAAGATATATATGGGAGCTATACCCAAATTTGATCTGATCTCGATAAAATTTGACAGAGATATTTCTAGGCTGTATCTGATGCCTGATATTAAATATTATTGTTGTGGAGTGCATATTACGCATGTGAGGGACTGAAAATCTCAAGTCAGATGAAACATATATATGGAGGCTATAGTTTTATCTGAACCGATTTTCACCAAAATTTTGCTTCTAGGCTAAATTCCGTCGGAAGTGTCCAAAAAGATATTTATGGGAGCTGATCTGATCTCGATAAAATTTGACAGAGGTATATCTGTGCTGTATCTGATATCTGGTAGCAAATATTATTGTTGTAGAGTGCATATTAAGCATGTGAAAATTTGAAGTACTTGCTTCTAGGCTGAATTCAGTCGGAATTGCCAAAATTCAGTCCATTTGCCTGATATTTGCGATTTGGTGCACAATAAACCTGATATCGTATAAAGATCTATATATGGGAGCTGTATCCAAATAAAATGTTAGGTACTTATTTCGGACCTGTATATGATAGCTGGTACCAAGGATCATTGTTGTGGAGTGCATATTACGCATGTGAGGGACTTAGAACCCCAAGTCGGATAAAACATATGTATGGGAGTTATAGCTATATCTGAATAGATTTTCTTAATCAAATTTGATGTACATGTTTCTAGGATGAATTCAGTCGGTATTGCCAAAATTCATGTAATTTGGGCTGGCATTAGTAATTTGGTGCACAATAAACCTGATATCGGCTAAAGATATGTGGGAGCTGTATCGAAATCTGATCCGATGTCGATAAAATTTGACAGAAATATTCCGGGCTGTATCTGACACCTGGTATCAAATATCATTCTTGTGGAGTGCATATTACGCCCGTGAGATTAAATCGGGTGAATCATATATATCGGGGCTATAACTAAATTTGAACCAATTTTCACCATTTGGTGCACAATCAACCCGAAATCGACTGAAGGTATATATTTCAATAGGGCTCGTCCTTGGCCCAAACAAATATTGTTTTGAAAATTAAAAAAAAGTGAAAAGGCTGTATGTTCGGCCGGGCCGAACTTGAAATACCCTCCACCATTTGGAACGAATTTGGCAATTAAAAAAAAAATAAATAAAATCCATTAAAAATTCTGTTAAAATCTTAAAAATCCAAATATAACAATTATATTAGGCTTTATACGACGACGTGGACCCGCAGGGGGCAACTTCTATCATAAGCCATAAGAATATTTACATGCGAAACATGAAAAAAAATTCGGTGAATTATATATATAGCTAAAATCATCAAAATACCGAATATCGGGAGGTAACCTTATATAGGGATTATACCAAAACGTGGACCTGCACAGACAATTTTCTGTCTTAGGCTGTAGTATCCATTACGAACTTCAAATACCAAATTTGAAACAATGCCGATAAATAATGTCGCTAAAATCATTAAAGTACCGAATATCGGGAGGTACAGTTATATCGGAACTATACGAAGAAGTGGATTTGCTCCTACAATTTTCTGTCTTAGGCTGTAGTATCCATTATGAACTTCAAATACCAAATTTGAAACAATTCCGATGAATAATGTCACTAAAATCGTCAAAATACCAAATATCGGGAGGTGCCGTTATACGCGGGCTATACGAAGCCGTGGATCTGCACAAACAATTTTCTGTTATAGGCTGTAATATCCATTTCGAACCTCAAATACCAAATTTAAAACAATTCCGGCGAATGATGCCACTTAAATCACAAAAATAGCGAAAATAGGGAGGTACAGTTATATGGGGGCAATACCAAAACGTGGACCTGCATGGCCCATTTTCAATACCAAAAGTACTGCAGAAATGATATACATTTGAGTAAAATTTTATCAACCTAATTCAAAGATTCTAGCTCTTGACGATCACTCATCAAAAGTGTTTAAATTTGGTACGTTTCAGTACTTTTCGTACGAAGTTCTGAAAACTAGTGACCGTTTTTCAATATTTCAAAGCTACCTGTAAATTTGCACATTTTAGTATGTTTTTTAAAAATCTCGCTTTATCTGAACACCTTTACAAAAACTGTATCAACCTACTTCATTTCGCTCGGAAGATTGAGTGATTTCCACAGACGGATAGACGGACGGACATCGCTAAATCGACATGGAATTTTATGCTGCTTAAGAATATATAGTTAGTGGGGGTATATTTCGAGGTGTTACTCCAAATACCATGGTGGAGGTTATAAAAAATCAAACAGACGGACGAACAGACTGACAATGCATAAATCGACTCAGAAAGAGATTCTATAAAGATCCTCAAAAGTAACTATGCCTCCATCTCGCATCCTTCTCCATGTTGCAAACAAATGCCCAAAGACATAATACCCTTACCACTATGTGTTGTAGGGTATAAAAATTCAAGTCAAATTCCAATTTGTGCTACCAAGCTTGGGAGATTCCAAACCTTTTCTCCGCAAATTATCAAAATCAACACCTACTTAGTATGGTGTCACAATAATGATGCTCCACTCGTCACACCGTTTTCCCCCAGGTTATTTTGTCACCATGACAAGGTCATTTATAATTTTTTGTATCGTTGTTGTTGTTGTTTCCTTTGTTCTATCGACACTACATTGCATGTTGTGCAGCGTAGATATGTATTTTTGTTTTTACACATAAAAAAATAAGCTCTACTATGTTCAGCGGAACGTAGAAACGCGTTTGTCAATTAAAAATTCTTGTTAAATTAAGCGTAAAATTCTAGTAAGGCTTCGCTGTGATGAAAAAACAATAACAACAACAATAATGCATACCCTATCATCATGATCGGAAAAAAAAACTATGCTTACAATTCACATTCACAACTTTGTTTTCGCATTCACATTTTATGTACAGTGGGCGACAACGGACTGAAATGATTGAATATCTGAGTGACCTATCAACGACTAGGCGTCAAGCCTGAAAATAGAATCCAAACATGTTGTGTGAGGGGTCCCGATTCGTGTAAAGGTGTTGAGATAAAGCGAGATTTTTGGAAAATCTACTAAAATGTGCAAATTTACCGGTAGCTTTGATAGGGTCACTAATTTTCAGAAATTCATACGAAAAGTACTAGAACGTACCAAATTGTAACACTATTGTTGAGTTATCGGAGCTAGAATCTTTAAATTGGACATGAGAGGAATTCACACTATAAGGGTTCGAACAGTACAGACATTTACTTCATGGCATCTTTAAAATGAGATTAACTTTTTCACTTCTTTTTCGTACGAAAAAGTACTAATCATACCAAATTGTAACACTTTGGACATGGGAGAGAAGTACAAAATTTAATCTCATGACCTCTCTAAACTGAGAACAAATAGTTTGACATGGAAGCAATTTTTTTTTTGTAATGGAGAGGCACTTCGAAAAATACGAAAAGTAAAAATAGTCTCTCTTGGGTGAGTTAAGGGAGAGTTATGCTCTTTCTTTAAAGGTTTAAAAACACGAATAGGTACAAAATGATACAATTTTATCCCAAATAACTTAAATTAGAAGAGGACTAAAAATTACATAATAGTACGATGTTATTATCGTGCCATCAAAAACACAAGATTTTTGTAATTTTGTAAGTTCGTACGAAATACTGCATAGAAGTCACTCTTTATATGGGGGGTGGCACATGGTGGGATTTTCGAAACATGTGGCACCTTAAGGTTAAGAAAAGTACTGAAGGTTACGAAACAGAAACAAGTAAAAAGAAACTAAATTTGGCCGGGCCGAACAATTAATATCCTCCGCCATTAAGAAAATGTTAGGAAAATAAGGGGGGCTATGTGAAGATGAGGACCGTCATTTTTATACCATCCACCATAGTATGGAGGGTATGTTAAGTCTGTCATTCCGTTTGTAAAATCTCGAAATATACATTTTAGACCTCAAAGTATATATATTCTTGATCAGTATAAGATTCTATGTCGATTTAGCGACGTCCATCCGTCCGTCCGTCTGTGGAAATCACTCTAGCTTCCGAACAAATTGAAGAAGGTTGATTAAATTTTACTCAAATGTATATTATGTATGCAGAATTTTTGGTATTGAAAATGGGGCATGTAGGTCCATGTTTTGGTATAGCCCCCTATAATGGTACTTCCCGATATTCGGTATGTTGACATTATTCACCGCAAATGTTTCACATTTAGTATTTGAGATTCGTAATAGATACTACAGCCTATGACAGAAAATTATCTGTGCAGATCCACGTCTTCGTATAGCCCCCACATAACGGTACCTTCCGATATTATGTATTTTGATGATTTTAGCGACATTATTCCCCGGAATGGTGTCAAATTTGGTATTTGAAGT